ATCAAATTCGTTCTCATTATATTTATTAAAATTAAAGAGTATTTAACAACATTATTTGTATTTAAATATATACCTACATGTGACTTTGTTTTATAATAATTAAAAAATACACAGTAGGTATGTCAACGGTATAATACAATATATAGTAAAATTAAAAAAAAAAAAAACAGTCTCTCGTTAATCGTAATACATACTAAAGCGAGTATAAGTACACAGCAAATTTCATTTTAGCTATTAATTTAGAATATTTAACAGGCTTTTGCCTGAGGTACGATACCTACACCGCGCAAATATAAATTATGATAAAAAAAAATCACCAGTTCATGTACGCATATAACATAATATAGGTAGTTGCATATATTATAATATAGGTACACGCATGAAAGACAAAGTACTAGGAAAAAAAAAACAACGTGCACAACACGAGAAAAACAGCTAAGTGGTGCACAACTTAACAAACGAAAAAAAAATATAAGACTAGAAGTCTGTTCACGGGGTATGCTCGATCGAATGGGAGCGGGTGAACTGCAATATAACTGTTACTGATCAGGTCCAGCGGCGTTATAATAGTACATAATATAACGCTTTTTTTAGGTACCTACCTCGACCAGATAGGTATTCGTATTCGGACAACGCCACAACGGCCGCCAATGTGAGGGGACGAAATTTATTTGGGCGTTCATTCAACGATATAAAATAAATATTAAACTTTTCAAGCACACACTAATCGTATCTTATCTGTGGACCGGGTACATAGAAGTGCCGAGATAACGTTTAGGGGAGAGGGTTGATTATATACAATCACCGTCAGTTTAGTCTACACATATTGCGTATCTACCGTACATAATCATTTGTGTCTCCTACTAATGGGGTGGGCGGCAGTGTCAACGCCAGGGGTGGGCTAAGATTCACTTTAAAAGTCTCGGGCCCCCCGTGGCCCACCACAAAGTTTAGAATAAATCATAATTAGCTATTCAAAATGATCTCATCAACCATTATGTATTAGCATATATGACATATTGCCATGGAATGGCATTAGTATTGTTTTTATATAATATATAAAATTAACATATTAGCCCCTCCAAAAAAATTTGGCCTCAGCCTGGCCCTCCTGATACTAAATTCTGACACCGCCACTAGGTGGCGATCATTTTTACTCTCGACTTTAATGTACATATTTAATCAAAATAAATATTATGCACTACACCTTTCTAAATATTTAATATATTATATATAATATAAATATATTAATAATTCTTAAAATTCGTCAGTAGATTAAAATTGAAATCGTTTTCGATCCATTCGGCCATAACACGCTTGACGAGGACGGCATCCACCTGAACGCAAAACCRTCTAAAATGTGTAGATATGCGGGAAAACGGCAGTTGATGTAAAATATTTGTAAACAGAGAACGTTTCTCGTCGGGCGGTGGTACAAAAACTGTAGCCATCCGCTCACATATTCGACAACTCGAATTGAACTAACCCGAACGGGGGTAAAAATAAATATGAAATTATAAAAAATAATAAATATTAAACGAGAACTATCGGTGATACWGTTTACTGCTCGACGTTTACTGATGTAAATCATCAATGGCGATGGTTTATTACGCGGATACTTCGGTTGTAGAATATCGTACACGCGGGGCCGATAGATATGCCTTGTCGATCTTACTCCGATGGGAGTAAAAAATATATCCCTAGGAGGACGTTTCATTGATAAGAGGTTAGGTGGGAGTACATGACTTCAGTGAAAAGTATAACTATGGTGTGGCAAAACCTCCGGTCGGAGGTAGATTCCACGCTTAGTCGATGGAGGTTAAGTTAGAATATTAAAAAAATCAAGGTCCGTCCATCAGTACAGTGTTGGTAGTAATAATTAACTTAAAAATAGTCATACTTGTATTCAGAACCAACCGAAAATCTCTGATCGGTAGGAGCTTGGTCAAAGATTAAACCCGCAAGAATTTCTCAGATCCACTGCCGAATGGGTTGAATCACTTACATGGAGACTTGGTCGTAAAGCGGACCACACTTGATTTATAATTAACACTTCATACGCTTGAATTAAACCCGCACTAATTTTAACCACCGATTTTATGAGTTGAAAGGATCCCAAAACTGAACCTAATCTCAAAAGAATTCAACAAGACTAAAGTACTTTATAGAGCACAAAACAAAACAATTATTTCTGTAAATAAAAATAATTCAAATACCGCTGTTGGATGGATAAAAATTCAATGGCGCATGGGCACTTAACAACAATTTTATTAAAAACTAAGGTTCTATAATTATTAGGGAATGGGAAAATGAAGACAGCAGATCATTAAATGTATTTAAAAATTAGGAAATGATTGTTCAAAATTACATAATCAGAATTTTTTGATATTTTATAAGTGTTATCCTCTAACCTGTATATCACGAGGTTACAATGAAAATGTCAAATTGCACACCAAATTGTTTTATTTTCAAATCTAAATCTAAATGTATAGTATAACTTAAGCTATTTCAAAGTTTAAAGATATGCAATTTTCAGATAGAATTGATATTATTTTTTTTGTAATATACGTTCTTAGAATTGGATAACACTATAATTTTTAAAAAGAAACATTTTAGAATAATTAATATTTAATAAGTTATTGTTTTTTAAAACTAATGATAAGTAGTACTTTACTGCAAATCCTTTTCTTACTCTTAAAATCTAAGAACCTTAACTTATTTAAATTTAATTAATTAATAATACAATTTAGATAAAAATCAAATTTCTTTTAAATAAAGTAGAACTTTTTTTTTTAAACTGAAGGGACCAAAAACAAATTTGATTATTGAAGTAATTTTAAGTTATTGAGGAAATGTTTGTTTTGAAATTATAACACACATTATTTAAGTTGTTRCATTAATAAAGTTCTACTGTATTTAAATAACTAAAGGCTTAACACAATAACTAGATATCTTAATTTTTACTTTTAAAATTAGTTGATTTTGCAATCACCAGGTATCTTAAATTACTTTATTGATAAACATAATGATAACAAATTTACCATTTTCTTCACATTTATTAAACATTTAAACTTCTTTAGAGCTATTCTGTTTGAAGTAAACAAGAATATCAAGTTATTGAACTATGCCTTTAATTACTTACTTAAGTTTTTACAAAAGTTGTAAAAGGTAATTAATACATTAGCCACACCTAATAATTTATGTTATAATTAGGATACTTAAAATAAACTTATTAATAAACAAATATCATGCATACAATTAAATTAATTTTTAGCAGCTATGAAAACCACAAATCCATATTTAAGAATACAGTAATAACACATAAAAAAAAATACACATTTGCTTGATATRTAATTATATGATAGAACATGTTTTAAGATTATATGCTTAAAATAATTCGCCCGGTGAAACAACACCTGTCCAGTAAAAAAAAATTATAATAATAGCAATAATTTTCCAATGTACATTATATAAATGCATTTGTTAATTATCATACAAAAACTATACTAATATTCTACTTGTTATATATTAAGAACATTGAAATAATTATTATTTAAAAAATGAAATACAATTATAATTGTATGAATATGTATAACTGTGACAACAATCAATATTATAAAGAAAAATTAGTATTACAATTACTTAATAATACATATATATTTTAATTCCTTGATTTAGGAACACAATAATTGAAAAATAAAAAAATAACTTAAATATAAATTAAAATAACATATTTCGATTTTAAATCAGAAGGATTGAATAAAAATAAATAATAATTTTTAGTACATCATATAGTAATTGAAAAATAAATTATTGTATTGAATATTATAAATAAAATTCATTTCTTACTATATTAGAAACAAAACTGTATGGTTGAATTCTTCCAACATTTATAAACGTTTTTTACTAATAAGCTMTTGATTTATATTTTATACTTTTAAGTTCTCAGTACAATCGAAAATTAGCATTTTACTGTATTATTATAAGCTTCTTTAAATTATCAATATTAAAAATTACAGAATTTAAAAATAAGTAAATTAAAAGCATAATATGATTCAACAATGAAATCTTCAATAAAAATAAAATAAATAAATTATAATAGGTAAGTAAATACAGAAATTACTACCTACATATCAATAATTTTATCCGAATTCCCAATTTAATCATCTTAAAATTTTCAGTGTTAATATATTATAATAAAATAATTTTATGAACTTATAAATTAATTGCACCAAAAAATTAAAGAATAAATCATTTTATAATTTAATAAGTAATTACATGATGTTACATATAACAACATATAATAACTTATATTATAGTGAATATGGAATTATACCCATAACTTGTAACTCAATCTATTACAATAATTAAGTTTTTATTGATTATAGTAATAAACTTTAGGAATGTCTTTCAACAAATAAAACTCATTGATCACAGCAAAAATTAATTAAAAATCAAATTTAAAAAAAATAAATGTATAGTTGAAAAATAATAATTATTGGCAGTGTAAAATAACAAATAAAAACCTAACATTTATACACTTTCTTCAAGTTGTTACATTATTTATCTTGAAAGAATTTTAATATGAAATAAAAATTAACTGTCTAACTATTAGTTTTTTAAAAATCAACTGTGGCGGCGACCAGTTTTTGTTTCTGACGGTTAGATCACGCCGTGGTGCACATGGTCCGTACATATAGTGATGTTACACCTATAATAGTAGCTGACCGCCGCAAGCATTTCTTATTTTGAACAGAGTATGGACTATTATAATTTCTTGAACTTAAATTTATCATAATTCATATTATATTGAACAATAAAACCAGAGATCACAATTAAATAGTTATTCCAGCCACCAAACTATGATCCATATATGAATTCTAATATTAATATTTAACCATAATTATTTAAATGCCAAGAATTTAACTAATAGTTAATTTAAAGCACTATTTGTATATAAAAACCTTAACATCAGAAAATAATAATAATAAAATATTCACATAGCGATGACATTTTAAGCATAAAAACACATACAATAATAAGAATACTGTTTAAATTATTTTTAAATAGATATTCTTTTATATAACATCAAAGGATATTATAGTTAGGTAGAAAAAATGATGATACTTATATTAAAATTAAAGCTGTCCAATTAATCATTTTGGCTGTCAGTATCACAAAAGTTAACTTTCATGTCCCTTTTAATGTAAAATAACATATAAGCTTGCAAATTTTCTACCAAAGATGCATCAACTTCATGCACTTTTTCATCATTATATTCATACCATTGATCTAAATTTAAAAAAAATAAAATATTAAATCATGTATATATTTTTATGACAAAGTTATGTTTCAGTGATTTTTCAAAAAAAAAATTAAAGTTAATATTTTGGTGTTACATTTAATTAAATGCAATATTCACAATTTAAGAAACCTCATAAAGCATCAAAATACTACTGATCAAATCATATGTTTAATTATATGATTATGATCAATAATCAAAATTTATAGAACTTAAGATTATGACATCCAAACTTTTTTACATTTTTAACACCAATAAAAAAATTACATGTTAAGACAAAACTAAAATGTTCTAATTAAATAATTAATTATTTAAAATTACCGTCTTTATCATCAACAGCATAAGAAGTATAATGTCCAGATCCTCCCCTGAAAAATACATTTATCATAAAAAAACAATCGCATATTTTTAAATAGTTATATTTTTATTCACCCTTCTCCATCATGTACAACAACAGCAATCAAATCAAACATATATGTATCCGCACCACCCAATTCTTTTCTCATTGTATCATCAAAATATGGAGACATATCTAATAATTCCATAGGAAATTTAATATGTGTATGAACTTTAGTACGAGAAGTTTGATCCCATCTAAATCGTTTAAGATGGATACAAAGTATCTAAAGAACAAATATGATCATTAAGTTTGTATAGAAGTATAATCTTTTTAACAAGCAAAAAAAAAATCTTACATTAGGTAAAGCATTCATCCAAAATCTCTTAGTGGATCTCTGTTCGCTTCCACATTTGTCACAGAAGTAAAAATTTCTTTCATTCAGTTCTTCTATCTCAAAATAACGCGCTAAGCAATCTTAAATACATAAAATAATTTTTGTCACAAAAATATTAATATAATTTARTCTAAACATACCAGTTAAAAGATCAACTGGTCGAGATATCGACGGGTCTGCATTTTTGTAATCTGGCACGTCCAGTGAAATATCTGTGATTGGATCTCTTTTTCTAGAAGGTGTATTGCAATTTAAACAGTAAACCTAATAAAAAATACACAATGATGATTTCTACTAAGTTATATGTACAGATTCTTACAAATTGTTTGATGGCAAAATAATATAAATTCATGGATAATAGAAAGTGAATAGGGTGTTACATTACTTATTTTTAAAGGAGGTCCATACATTTTTTTTGTTAAAGAGCAATACTATTTTATTTTCTGGTCATGTAATTTTCAGAAAATGTTTAAAAATTAAACTTCAATCGTAAGGTGAATTTAATAAAAAAAATACAAAATATATTGTTTCATTGAAATTAAACTGATGGAACAATTACTTAAATGTTACTACTAATGGTAACCATAGAAGAAAAAGAAGAAAAGACTATTGGTAACATTTTTAGAGATGTGCCAAATACATAAGGTATACTGGCACACTGCTATGTGGATAATTATAATAGAAAGGTTCTATCTATTTATGATTATCTGTGCAATATATAATTCAATACATAGTTAGTCATATAGATTATTACTTTTTCTAAATTTTATGGGAAAACAAAACACTTTTTAAGTACTTTCTCATAAACCTATTTCTTAATTTTTAGAGTACAATCATTAATTATAAAATTAAAAAAAATTTGAATAAAATATCACTTAGTACCTAATAGAACAACCATAATAAAATGTAACATACAATTTGGAAGAACCTGTATAGAAAATTCACATTTTATTAAAATATATAAGATGATCCATTTAACGTAAGGATTAATTTTTTTCTGTATGATTGAATAATACATGGTGTATAATTTTTTCTACCACATTATACGGATCAGTTTATATATGCATAGAGTAAGGCGTACATTAATGTTTAACGAAACTTCATAATAAAATTCTAAATAGTATTTTAAGTCAAAAAGATCATTATTAATTGATCAATATTTTTAATATCTAATTAATAGTCAGTACATTTCTAAGTAATAATTCAAAATAAAACTATTAATATAAAATAAGTTTTTAAGTTCTTATGTATTAATATTCTAAACACCATTTATTTTTTGGCAAAATACGATTAAAACTTTACGCCCTACTCTATATTGTACAAAAATCAAAATTAATAGTGATTAAGAGAAAAGTTAATCACCTCATTTAATAAAAATCCGCGAAACATCAATGATACAAGTGTATCAATTTTATTGGGGTTTAAATTTGTTACTCCCTCCTCTAACAACAATTTACTTTTTTCATCTTTCAGCTCGGAATGTAAAGTCTCCAATGTAAACATCAAAAATTCATGAGCATCATGTTGATGAAATCCTCTAAATATTCATCATAATTTTAGTACAATATCATTATCAAATATACATAGCATTTTTGTAATGTAACTGATAGCATATTAATTATTAATATACAATTGTTTGGTTCACATTAAAATACAAACAGTATTTGTTCAATAACATATATTATTCTTATGTATCTTATACTAAATTAATAACTTTTAAAACCAGAATAAATAATAAGAGCTTATATCAATAAAAACCAAAATCCAAAAAATTGATATTAATACGTAACTACACATTATTCATAAAGTTTTCCTTCTTTGGTCTTTTAGAAATATTTGTATACTTAATGCTTATTAGAAGAAAAAAAATCAATTAACTAAAGTTATTATTCTGCTTTAAAAATATTTACTAAAAATTATAGTGTTCGTATATTCATATTTATTTGAAGGAGAAACTCAAAGATATTTTTACCTTTGAATGAATAGCATATGATACAGAAACTGGAATTAATTGAGTTGAGTAAAAAGTTTCAATCAAATCCCATACTTCGTAAAAATTATATAAGTTCCAAGTCTTATCTAATATTTTATTTTAACGCAAACGAGGTTATRTTACAATATTATAAAATTAATCAAATATAAAGAATTACATTTTTCCATTATAAAAATTAGTTTCATCAATAAACTAAGAATTTCTTTAATAAATCTATATTAAAATTGATTTTTACAAGCCATAAAAATATAAGTAAAAAAAAAAACATTATAAATGAGATCTATGTAGAATCTTTATGAATAAATCATTTGAAATATTGGATAGTCTACATATCTAGAAACGTAGCAATGTTATATCTTGAATGAATTGTTGTGTGCATTTTTGTAAACTACAACACAAATGTTGACTTGATGAAATGAGTGATACTTTAAAAATTTCTTGAAGTTTTTATGAAATAAGGCTACAACTGATATTCCTATTATAATTTTGTTATAGATACAAAATAATACCTAACTAATTTTAAATATATTAATTTTGTTATTAGCAAGCTACTTTAATAATCCACAGGGTATATACTAAATAAACCAATTTATTAACTTATTTTATTTTTACATACAATTAATGGAGATAGATAGATTCATACTTTAAATGAAAGAAATTCTACAATCCCAATAAAAATGCATCAAATACCTCTAGCACTCCTATATTATGTAAAACATAATTAGTAATTTATAAATAAAAAATATATTTTTTATATACTTAAGATACTATATATCCCTTTTAAATATACATATTCGTTTTAATTTTAAATCACAAAAATTATAAATGTTTTATTWAATGTAGCTTATTTACTAACTTGTAGCGAGGTTTAATTTTACAGACAATTTGTAGAAGAGCAGTTGGTGAAATTGCTTCTCTAAATTTATAGCCAACAGGTTTTTGCCAGTCAACTAACGTCACCATTAATTTCCACATTTCTTGGGCTATACAATCTTGCAACCTTGGATCTGAATTATTATTGGATATTTCATAAAGTTTGAACAATTTCATGCAATATATAAATGGCTTTAGATGACTGAAATGTAAGAAAAATTAAATAAAAAAATAAGTTAGTACTTAGTATTAACATATTATTTATTTATTTATAATTTAAACTTTTTATTATTTTTTATTAGAGAACATAAAGGCATAATGAGAATATATGCCACAACAATTTAAAAAACATGAATAGGGTGACGGAAGAAACCATCTAGTGATCAGATTTCCATTTACAAATATATAATTTATTTTATTTTATTTTATTTTTTTGGTTAACCATTAAGAAGATTACTGCACTAGTTTCTTTTTAGTCACCGTTTCCAGGAATCGTGTGAGTGGCTAAGCTAAATATTAGATGAGAAGGCAATTTATTTAAAAAACATTTAAAGTATGTTTTAGATTCTTCATGAACGGTTTTAATTTTTAATTCAGAATGGAGAGTAAAATTAGAAATATAAGATAGAGCATTGGTATTGATGATGGAGCAAAGAATGTTTTTTGAATGGTTTGTATTATATTAAGATTAGAATTTTTGGTATTGCCCCAAAGTTGGAAAAGCCATATATGTCTATATAAGCATAATTCAAGATTTGTAAATGAACAGTTCTTTTATAATTTAAAAATGTTAACTATTTTATTGAACTGTATAATTGATAATATGAAATAAGAAAAAATAAAATAGTGGTTATTTAAGTTATTTATGCACCAAAGGGGCTAATAGATATCTTAACTGTTGTATATCCCCCTAATAAACTTAAAGTTTCTAAGCCACATTGAAATATACAAAGAAAAAATTCATCTGCATATAAAAACCTTTAGTGCTCTCCCAAAATCTCAAACACTATTTGCGCCAATGTTTATAAATTATATACGTGAAGGCAACGGTATTTTAAATTCATTTGGTGAACATTCACAGCGGTTGAACACTAGAAAAAGGAAACTTTTATGGTTTACTTAATTGGAGTTAATTTTTAGGTAGTACTGTACAGAATACTTTTAGAACCTAAAAAATAAGAAAAATAAAAACACATAATTGCATGGGAGTTCACCATAGTGTACAATTATAACACATAAAAACCAACGTTGTTCACAGAACAAATTGTACCTATTCATAAAAATGGATTCATGGTAGTCAAAAGATTAATAATGATTCAAAATAATAAGTAAGTTATATTTTTATACAAATCTGTAGCAAATAAAAATACAATAAAAACTTTTATCAGAAAATAGAAACAAAAAATAAAACTAACGGTAAGAGATGATAAGTGAAATATAAATGAAAAGTATACATTTGACTCCAATCCATTTTACTGCATTATTATTAAGTCAGACTTAATAAGGCCACATTTTTAGTTTAACAAATAATAAAATAATATTTACCGAAGCGATTGCCAAATCGCAATCATAAAACAATTGTTTCCACTATTAGATATACCAACTTTTTTATTAGTTCTAGGACCTCTTTTAAAAAAAGGTTTTTTAGGTTTAGCCTTGAGAGATTTCTTTGGTACAACAGTTTTAAGTGCTAGTTTTGGTACAACAGCTGGAGGTTCTTGTCCACTAAATATTAAAAAATACATTAGGATTTAATACACTTACTATTTTAAATATGTTAGTTCAATAAACTGTAAATTTAACAATTGAAGAACATAGATGGGGGGGGGATAAGAATGTCTAAAACTATAATTAAATTGGTTCCAAGATATACAGTGACGTCTTTGATGATTATAAACAAAATATCAAAACAGATTTTATAGCATGTTAATTTAATTTATTTAATGTCTATAAAACAGTATATCATAGACAATAATGTTGTGGTGGAATATGTACCATTGAACATAAATTGATAGACCATACAAAATATGTTTTTGTAAATCACATTTAATAACCAAAAAACTGGATAGATAACATACAAAATCATCATCCACAATAATATCTCTAATATTAGGGAATGAACCAAAAAATATGGCATAGTAATTTTTAATACTGTAAATCTAACTGATAATAGTATTGGTAACCAAGAAACAAAAAATACAACAGATACAATCAGGTAAAGGTATTCTATACATAGTATGGAACCAAAAATTATGTTTAATAAGTTTTGAAAAAAAAACAATAGCAGTAAGTTTTTGTCAATTACATTCTATAAATAGCTCATTTATGAATAGTATTTTATTTTTACAGAATATTTACACAAATAATTTAATGGAAAATTTGAAAAAAAAGTAAGATTTATAAACATACACAATTAAAATGTCAAACAAAGAACGCCATGCATATTACAAAGACAAGTAAAAACTTTAGGTTTTATTAACAAACATTTGAATTTTAAACAGTATATTCTTTATATCAAATATAATTTTACAGTTTATTTCAAGTTATTTTAAACAAAACTTTAAATTGAATAAATAGTAATATTTACCAAAGCGTTTGAGTAACTGTATTCATATAACAGTCATTTTCATTGTTAGGTACACTAACTTTTTTATTAGCTCTAGGACCTCGTTTAAAACTAGTCTTTTTTGGTTTAACAGCTTTAGGTGCTTTTTTTCTAAATATTAAAAAAAAATCAAAATGTTAAGCTTTAAGACAATAGTTTGTTTTTATTTTTTATTAAAATAAATACCGTCTTCTCTTTTTGTTACTATTATTTGAACTTGGTCCACGGTTATACAAAATAAATTGTCGAAGACGGTTAAGTTCATTATCGTGGTCCTTTGGTTCTACATCAGAACTACATTTGAAACTTAAAAATAAAATATTTTGATTTAAAAATTCAGTGGATATTATGACACAATATTTTTAAACTTATATATATATATATATATATATATATATACATATTTAATAATCGTTGATTATATTTCAAGCAATTCTAATTTTTTCTTTGAAATACATCTTTAGACCAAACAACTAACAAAATAAAAATTATTTTTTAACTAACCAAAATATAGCTGCAGACTCAATATTTATAAATATGCAATGAGTTTTGTGGAATTCATAATGTGCAGTACTGTGTCCTACAGCATTATGCCCACAAAGAATTTGTCGACACTCCAAACATATCCATAATTGATCTACTCGTAAGCAAACTGAAAATAATTTTAAATACTATAATTAGAAACTTTTTACAAACTTTCATACAAAATTGCAGCTCCCAAATGAATACAATTTACATAGGTATTTCATTTTTGGAACTTCCTTAAGAAGACAATACACCCGCATGTGTTGTCTCTATCTTACAAATGTAAAACATTGTGAAAACTATTTTGTATGGGAAAGAATGAATCATTCAAACTGTAATCCAAGCCTAAGCAACCTAATTTTTACACTATAAATAGGAAAATATTTACAGTACAATGATTTTTTGATTTTTTTCGATATTAGAATTTAAAAAAAGTTATTCAGGTTTAAAAAACTCAAAAAGAATGAATTGTTAAACAACAAGAACTTTTTTTGTATTTGTGATATCGAAAAATTAAAAACAACATTTCACACTAAATATTCTTCTATTTATAGTATAAAACTTGGTTGCTTAACTTGGATTACAGCTTGAGTGGTTCTTTTCCACGCAAAACAGTTTTTGCAATGTTTTAATTTTAAGACTCTGTCAAACAGAAAGCGTTATTTTCAAGTAATGTGATTTTGTAATTTGTTACAACATTACGTTATTTATGAGCCATTTACCACTTTAACGCAATCTGTTTGACACAGCCTTTACATTTGTAAGACGCAAACAACACAGGTGTACATAGCGTCCTCTTAGAATTTTTTCTTCCCCAAATAATCAATATAATATATGAAAGGATAACATAACTAACTGACAAATTGAAATTTTGCATACAAATAGCTATTATTATACAGGCATCTGCTAAGAAAGGATATTTGGAAATTCAAACCTTAAAGTAATTGAATAAAGATTGTAAGAATACCAATAGTGGAGATATCTGTCTAATAAAATAAAATTTAAATACACACTAGTTGTGCCATCTTAAAATAATGTAAAATTCTACAGTTTAGGCATTTAATTAATTTATCATTAAATTACGAAATGTATGAACTTGATATTAGGAAATGTAGCTCCACAAATGTGCTTGGAAATTTATTGTTTCGTTTCATAACAGACACATAATTTGGCAGAAAAGAATTCATCAGAATATTTGAAAAAGAGTAAATAGCACTGATAACTGATTAAGTAATGCTTAAAGATTTATTAATTGGTGGTCTTTAGAGTCCAGATTTAAATTATGTTAAAACATTTGAAATATGATGCTTATAAGATGCAAAATTGATAAAATATTCTAACAATTTTCAAAATGTTTTTAAAAAAATTCATTGATTGTTATTAATTTTCTTTAATCATAATTTATAACTTCATAATCATAACTCATAAGAAATAAAATAATTATCTTAAATACTTAATTATATTTTATTATTTTGTTAAATCAAATATGCAATGCATAAATATAAGTAAAAATAAATACTATGTAACGTTTTTAAAAATGTCATATTTTCCGATTTAAGTTAGTACTCCGGAAATAAGCTTAGTATAGTAGTCCGCGATTATTGTCTTATAATGCTGAACAATCATAATTATATGTAGTAATGCATAAACAAATCAAATAATTATTATACATTCTTGATTCTCAAAACATATTTCAATCCATGAACATAAAGTCACAACTTGCTATTTGCAAGTCACGGTTGTATATTTCTCGGTGAAAATAAACATAGTATTATCAAGTCAGTCACTCAGCAAAAAAAACAAAAAGGATGTGCATCTACTGAATTTAATTACTGTAGATGTAGTAAGTCAGTAAGTAATTGTACAGAAGGTTAAATTAGTTGTTCAAATTTTATGTTGAATAGCAAATTGTTTATAAACATTATTGGAAAATAAATGAGTACCGCTCTGCTATACATTAGATCAGGGATTCTCAAATTTTTATAAACACGGTACCCCTTTTTATCAATAAATTTTTTTTGGGTACCCCTTCTTAGTTACTAAACTAAAATATATATAAAAAAATGTAAAGACTTACATACATTATTATTTCATTAAGATTAAGTTATTAAATACTAATATACAAAAAATTTTAAAAACTATAAGCGTTTATTTTCAAAGAAATTAGTGAGATGGGCGAGCTTGTTTCTGTTGGCACAGTTTATCAATATTGGATCCTAATTTAGTTAAATACAATCTTAAATCATCTTCAACATTTAATTTATTTCTATATTTATATTTACATTTAACATAAGTTAAACTCGAAAAACCTCTTTCACATAAATAAATGGCAGAAAATCCAACAAGAAATTTGACAGCAGTGCTAGACAGTTCTTTTTGTTCCTTTCMAACACAGATCCAAAAATCTAACAATGTAGTACCAGAATTTAAGAATTGGTTTTTCATCGAGGGATCGCACAAGATTTTATATCCGAGCGTAGACGCGCCACGCGCATGATACCTAGCTTAATGTCGCGTTTTTATAATTATATAGGTATTCTACTGTCTCCTACTCTACTGTGTATAATGATAGCCACGCTTACTCAATCAATACCGAATGAAACAGTTAGATACGCCATTTTAATTTAAAATTCACAAATGTTACCTTGGATTTTAGAATTTTTTTCTCTATTTTAATTTAWAGGTGTGTTGGCCAGACTTTTACCCCTTAAAAAATGATGAGTACCCCCAAGGGATACGCGTACCACAGTTTGAGAAACACTGGGCTAAAACATATTACTTCAAATATTCGTTATTATTTTTTTTTTTATTGAACTTTAGCCCAGCCACTACGGTTATTAAATGTTGTTGTGAGTTTTTAATAGGTACCTATGTTACAGTAGGAGAGAGTTCAATTGGTTTTTGAATACTTGCATGCATATGTAGAAAGGATTTTCAACTAATGGCACCAGTTGTTGCTTGTTTACAGACTACATTTTGTGATTGATAGCAACTACCGTGCCACTCCAATCCAAAATATTATTATTTATTGTTATTACCAAGGACCAAACCTATAGTTCTTATAGGTATCATAAAAGGCAAACCCAGAAAATACATAATATACAAATACAAGATGTAATATCAAATACAAACAAACAATACTACGGTGAGAAATGAAAAATAAATATATATAAAAGGTTTTATTCAACCATGATTGAGTAAAAAAAAAGCAAAAAATAAAATAAAAACCAATCACATAGATAAGATTTAAGTAAATAAAGAATTTTTAAAACATCAATCAGTACACTTAGTAAATGTAAAACCAGTTTTAATTTTAAAGAATCTAAATTGAGATAGTTACTAGGGCAGGGATGGCAAACCTTTTAATAACTGTGTGTCAAATCAAAATGTTTGGTTTGATTTTATTTGCTTCACGTGTCAGAAACTTTGCAGACCTTTTTTTTTTATTAAAAAATAATTAATTAAACATTTACGTTTTATTATTCATTTTTATTAGTAAAATTTTGAAACAAAATGTTAGACGCCTTTACAAAAACATCTTTTAAGTATTCTCCATCAGAAAGTAGCTTACCATAGGGTGACCATATTTAAAAAAAAAAAATTACAGGACAAAATTAATAATAATTTAATTTTTTTTTATTAATACTTAATATATATATATTAACGATTATCAACAAGTCCATGACAGGTAACACTCAACGATTGTTGGTACCAAACTAATAGCAATAGCTATTCGCTATAATAACGATAACCGTCTTCACAAAACGTATTTTTAGTGAGATAAATAGATAGAATCGAAAGCATATAGTCCGATAACGKTCAATCCGATAACTCCGATAAGCTCCTATAACTTGTAGACATACCCCACACTGATAAATTCAGGCAATCACAAGATTACAATTATAATCATTATTCATTACTTTCGTAAGTTTCGTTTTCAAATTCATTAATTTTGTTTGATCAAAAAAACAGGACAAAAAGCGTCCTGAATGAAGTTTGCCAGGACAACAGGACACAACGCTGAAATAAAGGACAATCCTGTAAAAAACAGGACGTATGGTCACCCTAGCTTACCATGCTGCGCAATGAAATGTGACACAGAAAAACTAGTAGCTAATAAATTATTATTTTGTTTGAACGCCACTTTAAATTTGTTTGATTGACTTCTAAAAAATTTTACTTTTTGAGAAATCAATTACAACTATTTCGTTACACAAACAACATAGTACCTTATTATTGTTTTGAATTACACCAAAATCCACTGCCAACTGTTTGTGGAATAATCCACCCCTACCACTTTTTTATGGATTCAGTTTAAATTTTTTGAACATCTTTATTTAATAAATTTAGAAACGGTATTAAACTGCCAACGGTTAAACGTGAATTATAGTGAGTAAGCCCAAAACAATAATGAATAGGTTGGTTAAAATAGTCGTAGTTTAAGACATCCGAAACTATCTGTTGACGACTGTGGACGTTCTGTTGTACCTACGTTTGTTACGTAAACACAATAAACAAATTTATTGATAATCAAATTGTTTCGTTTTCGAGCTTAGGAAATGGGAAGTACAGATTACAATATCTTACGATGTATTCCAATAATAAGTTTAAAATAGTTTCAAATTATCAATAATTTTTTTGGAAAGTGAAGTAAAAATTATGAATAGTATTTAAATTGACGTGTCACTGAAATAATCCGTGCGTGTCCTAACCTAACCTGTACTAGGGGAATTTTTTATTAATAACCCAAAAGTTGGTAAAATAAAAACTAAATAGGTATCTATGTTGTAAATTTTTATTGAAACTGTGTTTACTTCATACTTGAAAGGGTGGACCCCTATCAAGATAGAAAAGATTAAAAACCTAGAGTCTAGACTCAATCTAAACTCTTAAGTAATAAATATTTTATAATATTTGAAAGGATGTGATACCCGCATATGTTGTCTCCAACTTACAAGTGCGTAACATAACAAACACGTATAACTCTGTTAGCTTAAAAATTAGAGTGTCAATTCACTAAACAAATAAAATTTAAAGGTAAGATTATTATCTAGACAACTTCATAGGCATTTTATCATATTTTAATTTTTGAAACGAGTTATGCATATTTTAAAATTATAAATAGTT